CTCTGAGCCCCTAATTTGATGAGTCAGCCCCATTTTCTTCATATCATGTAATAGTTCTTGTAATTCTGCACAACTTTCGTTCAATATGTCTTAACAAATTATAAAGAGATAAGAAGATATGAAACAAAAGGTGTCAAATTTTGTGAGATGTTTCTGAGATATTTTTTCGGGCCCTACCGAGCTCCGGCGCCTTTTGCGCTAGAAAGATTTGGACACCAGCTCGCAACTCTACAATTCTTCCTTTACTTTCACTAAAAATCTTAAGTCAATATCTTAAGTCGTTTCGGAGGAGTTTCCGGACAAGCCTACCCTCTAAAAATCAGAAAATTCATAATATCTCGAGATAGAAAGTGACGTCATCGCCGAAAAAAATTTCCAATAAGGTTCAGACCAATACCTATCAGATCTGAAAGATTGATTAAATCGGATGAGCCACTACCGAGAACTCGCGTGCACAAAATCGGTAAGAATAATAATAATAGGGAAAAAGAAACCGAACGAAAACAATAAGGTCTTCCGTTGGAAACGGAAGACCTTAATAAGAAACAGAGTAAAAACAATATGTTCCCCAACTTCGTTTGGGGAACATAACAAAAAGAAGGAGAGTTATGATGATAGTCTGGATTTATTTTACATTCCGGAAGTGTGTGTCAATGTTTGATGTCATAATATCATAATCAGCAAGAAAGAATAAAAAATAAAAAAGTTGTACAGTAACTGAATGAAATAACATTAGATCAGTTACAAAACTCCTGAAAGTTTCATTAAAATTATATTTTGTAATTTAATCTTGGAAGAAAAATATGAATTTTTAAAGGGATAAAATTTTGTATTGGATCAAACAGTCCTGTATTGCTTTATGTTTTCTTCTATTTGCACTAAATTGTTAAAAGTGCATTGTTTACTTGTATGATAAGATTATCTTAAGGCTTCCATTAAAATCTGAAGTGATATGATTTTTACAAAAAAATCATAATATTTTTTACAAAAATTTAAATGTATGCCGATATGTGATCAATTTGTCAGAGATTCACAGAGATTGTCATGCGCAATCAATGGGTATTTTAAGAAACATACAAGATCATAAACAATTGATAGAAACATGTTTTCAAGAATGAAGAACAAATTCAAGAAATATGTTAATAGTAACCTAAAAACAAAATTCATGATAAACATGATGTCTGGGGCTTTTCTATATGTAGCAGTTAACCTTTATCATCTGCATTTAGGCTTCATGTTTCTCACTTGATTCGATACGCAAGACATTTTCTACGTACGAGCAATTTTTGAAACGGGGGAACCGATGAACAAACAAGATGGCAGAACAAGTATCATTTAAAGTCATCATTTTGCAAGTTCTTGGTCATAACAGTGACCATATCAGCAAAATCAATCTTTTTAAAATCAAGTATTCGTCAATTACTTTTTATACGAACTTTTCCGTTGCCCCATTACATGAAAAGGAGCACGGGCAAGTGGGACAATTCGACAATGCATGTATATTTACTCGTCCATGGCACCTGGTCCCATCTCTGATGTTTTAGATTGATTTCAGTTTAAAGTATTGAAGTTCAGGGAGAGTTGAATTAATGGTTCATAAGATACTTATGTTCGATTAAAAAAAGTCTTCAAATCCGATAGTGACCTTGTAGGAAAATCTATCATTAAGTTGCCACTTGCCTTAAGTTTTCATATAGTTTGGTAATGCATGTACATTAATTTCACATTTAGATGTCCTATCATAACAAGAAGCAACAAATGGCACATTTAGATGTTTGAAAGAGGATGCCTACCTCTTTGTAGCGCCTGATCCAATCTTTGATGTTCGAAGAGATTCAAGTTTTCTCTGCTTCCCATTCGTTTCTTTCAATTGACTTTTAATATTGATTGTGCATGTTCCTTTTTTTCAATTTAATCATAAAGCTCTTGACAAACACTTTAAAATCTAAGCCTTCATTCCATTAAAATATATAACTAATAAATTTAATGTAGCATAAAATATCTGACTTATTTGCATTTAAAATGCACACAACTTATGTAAAAAATATAAATACTTAACGAGGCCCAATCTAGTTGAAAATAACGAAAACGGAATGATAAAAAATTTTGATTCTTAGAAATATTTTGTATGTATTATGCTTAGAAAAATTACAATGAAATTTTATTACCTTGCCTTTATTGTAGTCAAATGGGGGCACTGTCAAAATATGGACCATTTTTTTTGTCATTTTATACACAATTACATAGTAAAACCCTCTAATAGACAAAGAAATTGAAAATTTAAAAAAATATATATGATGAAATATTTTGTTTTTCACATATATCATGCAATTTTCATTCTTCTTATAAAAAATGAAAAGAAAATTAAAGGTAGCCTTTATTGCAGTGAAAAGGGGGGCATATCAAAACACAAAATTAGCACTTATTTTATCCAAATAGACATGAAATAAGTCGCCATGGGTGTACATAACATCAACAAACGATTACAATACGGTATTAGTTTCTAAAAAATGAATAATTCTTACATTTTGAAATAATTTTCTTTTAATGCTTTCTTTTTTTTTTATACGCAACGTTATTAAACGTGGAAAAGGGGGAGGGAGGGGGTAAAGGCGACAAATGACGAATTTTACTAATATCATGTAATATATAGAAAAATAAAATATATCGGGGGTTGCATTGAAATGATTCATAGACTGATTTTTTTTAAATCAAGCTAATTCATGCATATCTAAGTCCTCAATAAAAAAAGGGGGGTGTATAAAGACTTCAACATATTCAAGGAGAAAGACTAAAATTGTTTACTTTTGGTTTGCAATGTTTGTTTTTTTAACTCACAAATTGAAATAAAACAAGGTAAAATTAATGAATATGTACCAAGAAATTGATACCTCAAAATAAATCATGTTCCAAAGTTGTTTATCACTTTAATTTTTTTTTCAAACATGTATATAATAATATTTACATTTGCAAATGTTTTCCTTTATATAACACTACTGAAGGCAAGCGATTTTATAACTGTGTAAATACAGGTATGGGGTCAAGAGGTCATTGATGTGCGTTTGGATAAACGTTCGACGTAATTTCTCTGTGACGTCATAAAGGGTCGACGCGCGTTTAGTGGATTACATACATGCCGTTGGGTTTGAAAAATTAACGCATTTCACACGTTAAAAGTAACAATCAGGCAAATATAAAGTATGAATAAGTCAAAAATGTAAATATAAGTAATAAGGTATCATTTTTTGAGTTTTATTGAGATGTAAAACGGGTTGGCACATGATCAAATCTTCCATAAAGCCCTTCGGGCTTTATGGGATTTGATCACGTGACCAACCCGTTTTACATCTCAATAAAACTCAAAAAATGATACCTTATTTCTTAAGTAATACCAGCTTTCAACATGTACAGTCTATAGGGTTACCAGGTATGCAAGGGCAGCGAAACATTTTAGCGCAATTTGACGTCATTTTAATTGTGATGTTATTGTATTCAATTGTGACGACAGTCAAGGGTACTGTGACGTGCATGAGTCGACGCTGCGTTAAAACGTATGCGCAGTTCAACTTGATCAGGCCTCGTTAAATTTGAAAAAGTTAGAATGTAATTTTATTGCAATTTTAGCAACTAAAGTCCAGGATTCGTATGCATAGAAATTCTAAGAATTTTCTTAAGTATATGCTTAAATTTCTTAAGCATATTCTTAGCTGAGTAACATGCTTCATTTCCATTGCATAAAAATTCAAGCAACATACTTAGCAATTCTTAGCTAAGCATATCGCAAGATGCTTAAGTACACTGTTGTCATGTCAATAAAGTCACTTCCGCTTTCACTTAAACGTAAACAAACACATGCCATGAGAAAGAAACAAGGATCGACATAAGATTAGGAAAGTATTATTCCTATTAAATTAATTATTCTTCCTCTTATAACTATTTCTTGTTATATTTTGATCACTTTAACAGATCAAAATATTTTGTTTGATATTGATGACATGTGTTATCTTATCAGAGAGAGAGAGAGAGATATGAATAAACCGTGGAGGATGTAGCCTAGAGGAAAAAATTGCATACTTGAGAGGAAGAGCGAATCGAATTAATTTTTAAATTATTTTCCTTAGAATTAGAGGACATATAAGGTATACACTTTTTCCATAATGAATTTAGGTTTAAGTCCTTTCAAATGTGTGTATATAATCTGTGTAATATTTGGTACTTTTACAGTTATTATCTCTCTCTCACTTTCTCTCTCTCTTTAGGCATTAATTGAATGATAATTACATGAAAATTACGTATTATATGGGATACATGTAAGAATAATTTAACATAAATTGAAGTACACTAGTGATCTAAAAAAGGACGACTGCATTGTCACGGGTGCTTACAAAACTACACAACAATTAACTTACTTCAATTCTTAGAATGTTTTGAAAATCAATCGCTCGCATCTTCATAAGTCTATAAAGGCCAATATTATCCTAAAGTGAATTTAGGTCTAGGAAGCCACATAATAAAGTGGATAAATGCAGATTGTGTTTTATACTTTAATTATTATTGTGTAATTAGCTCTTAGAAATATCTTGAGCTATATGCTTAAGGACTTAAGACAGGTATAGACCATGCTTAACTTTAAGCATATGCTGAGCATATACTTAGGAGTTGAGAAGTTTTATGCAACATTCTAAGCAATATGCTAAATACAATTTCAATCTGCTAAGTAGAAAAAACAGTTCTTAAGTAAATGCTTATGCATACGAATATGATGATTGTTTATAACGGATCTCTGATGTAAAGGATGATAATCTTGAAACATATTTTTGTTGATAGATATATGAAAAGGGACGTGGGTACTTTAAACTTCTTTTCCCGTATAATGCTGAATAAACATCGGTAAAGGAAGATTTTTCGAACAAAATAAAAAAAAATGGGGGGGATGTCACAAAGGATATACGGAAGAACATTCATACAACGCATCAATCTTTCTTCCCGCAACAATTTTTTAACATCCTGTGTAATTCATATCTCAGTATATCGACAGCTATTTATTGTGGTAGGGGGTTTAAAGAATAATAGAACAGGGAATACGCAAGGAATGACAAAACAATATACCATGTGATACATTTGTTGTTTTGATGTACTCATCCATGACCATATTAATATTTAAATACTTAACCGCACTACGAACGGGTGGAAAAGTCGAACTTTTAAATTACGCAAGCCTAGGATTTGTTTTAAATAGATCACAACTGTTTACTTTTTAACGCTTTAGTCAAGTATGCGAGATGTCTCGAGTCCTGATCGTCATGTTCGGGATTGATTTAGTTCAAGGACTGTTTCCATTTACGGACTACAATGTCCGTCTCCAGTTTAGTAAGTATTCATAACTTAGTAACCTTCAGTATTTTTTTTCTTGTTCGAGGTGACTGTTAAACGTAATGTATATATATAATTATGTGTACAGTAAACATTGCGCAAGATAAGTAATTTAACAACGCTATACTGGAGACAACCTGCATATATGTATACGGAATAGCATACAAATGCTATTCCGTAATATACGCAAGGCTAAATGATCAAATATCTGACTTTTAAAATGTGTTTTCCTTCAAACTTATATACATGTACACTAATGCAAACAACATTAAATAACTGCTTTGGATTTTTTCTTCTATTTTATAGATGATGTCAAAGTTAATGTTACACACTTAAGAGACAGAGAAATACGATCTGCTGATTCATCTGAACAAAGTGTCATATCCTTTTACATCAAAGATGAATTAATAGAATTCAAACTAACAAGTAACAGGGGATTACACAAAAACGTGCCAGTATATACAACTGATAATAAGGGCAGCGTAAAAATACAGCATTTATCACAGCCGGAAAGTAAACAACAGGTGTGGTTCTAAACACTATAGTTTACAATGACTCCTACTTTAAATTTATTGTACATTGTTAATGAAGTATAGCTTGTGTACTTATTAAACAAATTTTTATTTCCGCTTATCGTATTTGATTTAAAAAACAATATTTCAATTATGATGGATTTTTTGTGTATCTAGCCCAGTTTTAACACGGAAATGATTTTTTTTTATTTTTGCAATGTCATGCTTTAAGGACATACAAGGCTTTCAACAAACATATGGTTAACATTAACATTGAAGTATTCCAAAAAAAAACAAAAGTTGTTTAGCACTCATAAAATCTTTTTGAATAATAAAATGAGTTGCATCTTTACTTAAAAATTCTTTTTTAACAGGTCAAATTTTATCAAGATGCTACAAAACATAGAGCAGCTTTTATTATGATACAAAATTCTTCCTCACAATGCATGGTATGTTATTTTAATGGGGTTAAAATTGTCTAGAATTGTTTTAAATCTTAAAAAGATATTTCAAAAAAAATTAATAAACCACTGCATATTTACAGAAAACAAACTTGACAAATCTCCATCTTGTTAATTTGATTTTTCATTACAATTTAAAAACAAATAAACACCAAATAACACAGAAGGCTTTATCTACGAAACATATTTACATTTTTGTAAATATAAAAAAGCTGACAAAGAGATCATTTCACATAAATTTCAAGATCCGAAAAAGATACTTACTTACGTCTATTTTCAATGGAAATATTTATGAGATAGGTACAAAAATATTTATATGAGATTACAAGCTTAAGGATATGTTGAATGAGCTGAAATGAATCATAGTTTATCATTTTATATGTTGTTAATATCATGTACGATAATTCACCTTTTTATTGATAATCTTACCAATCTTTGAAACTTTTTTCTAATATTTTAAATATTTTTTCATCAAAATAGACAGGAGTGTTTTTACACAGAAAAAATGAGTATCTAATTGAGCCAGAACCAAAAGCCTGTTTGTCTGACTCTGGCGGAGATATAAAATACAAGGTTGTACAGTTAGACCAGACACGCCATACCTTTTCATCGAATTCTGCCAAGTGAGTAAAAAATTTACTAAACATAGTATTCTATTTTCATAATACAAACTTAGTATTTTAGTTTACTAATGGTAACCCTTAATGAAATACGTACACCAAAAGCGAAATAGTACGTCTGTGTATTATTTTATTCTTCTTCTTGGCTTAAGGTTAAAACATTTAATAATGCTGAATTTTTATTTCAGTGTAAAATATAAAGGTTTTTTGCTGAAGATTTCAAGAATATTTTTATCATTAGAAATTATAAATGAACTATGTTTCTCATTTGTACGAGTTAAACTTTCAATATGTGGTTTTTAGATCTGCTTAAACATTGTATCTGTGCAATTAAATGAAAGTGTGTAATGTGAAGATAACACCAAAAATCGATTCTTTATAAGAAGATCCTCTAATCTCAATATTCAATTTTGCATATATATATATGGCACGCCAAATTCACAAAAATGAAATAAACCTAGTTTCACATTTGATAAACTAGGTTTATCGACTGTAAACTATAGTTTACAAACCGTAAAACTATAGTTAACGATTCGTTAAGTATAGTTTTCATCTATAAAACTATATTTAACGGTTGTTAACTATAGTTAACGAATGATAATCTAAGTTTATCTGTCTGTAATAAGCGTTAACAATAGATTTTGTTGATAAACATAGATTCACTTTCGAAATAATTAAAAGGGGAAATGTAGTTAAAGTTGTTAATCAAGTTTACAAA